AGGCAAAAAAGTGCATACCTGGTCGCAAAATGCGAGGCACTTTGAGCCAGCAAGTGTTGTTGCGACGCCGTTTCGCAAGCAGCACTGCGTGTGATCACGACCTCCGGCAGCACAAAATGCTATATCAGCAAATGCTTGCACGGGACAGTCGTCGTAACGAAGATACATCGCCTGAAGCGACTTTAATCACTTCCGCTATAATTTGCTTTCACTTCATTCGACTTTGCGAATTTCGTGGTCCCCCCTAGGTCCGAAGATGGCTGGGCTGTTCGCTTCTTCTATTGTTATTTGTCATTTTTTTATGACACTCGTTTTTGTGGAAATTTGTTTTAAAAAAGCTGTAAAGGAAATTCCTTGCAGAAATTAGTAAAAGGAAATTGTTTTGCGAAAAATCATTAGTTTAACAAATCACATTTAATTACTTATTTACTTACCTGCAAAATATTATTGCAAAAAAAAAAAAGAAAAAAGAGGAAACGGAGACAAGAAACAAGAGTTGAGGAGCTAAAAAAACTGAGATAGAATGTTTCAGCTCATTAATTCACGAACGGTTTTATGACTCCCCAGATGAAATATCTGGTGTCTCTGAAGAATGTCAATTGGATAAGCATGCGTGTCATTTCTGGCCAAGACTGATCAAATTTCCTGTTGTATCCAATCACTTTTTTCTGCCTCTGCGTATGTAATTCCATCAAAAGCAAAGGAGTTACAAATACGTATTTTGTAAAATTCCTCGTCAAAATGAGGTGTAAAATTTTTAATCTGATGAATGCAACTCTCTGCTGAGAATTTCATTCGGATTAACATATCTGTAAGTATCGAAAATTGCATTTTGGGCGCATACGTCCCATACTATTCAAACGAACTATTTTTTACAATAAACAAGGACGGGGTAAGAGAGCTGGAGTGAAAGAGCAGTAAATGAAGTCCCTTGGTCATCTGGAAAACTGACGGCATTTCACTCCATCATTCAGTGCGCTGATGTATCTTATGACTCCCGAAGTAAAATCTTAAATTGAACAACCGTTGCATCAGTGATGTTGACCACCAGGAAGCGTTATTCAGCTTTTCACAGTTAGACAGCGCAAAAAAACTGTAACGTGGAATCACTTCTGTAAACGTGTCCGGCGTAATTAGCTAGAACCGGAGATAGCTTACTAGCTTTG